CCCTGTCACGCGCCTATATATTTATCGCCCGAGGTGGGTGGGGGTGGCGGGGGTAGAGGGCGTATTCTCGCGAAGGTGCAGCGTCGTTTTTTCGGGCTAGTTGCGTTGAACCAACTCACCGCCATGAGCCGAAAATACTACGCTTTCAATGTCGCGAAAGTGCTGTTCTTGAACCACCCCACTGCCAGAGTTTTGCAAAGTATTATTGTCCATGTGCATTCCCTGGGGTGGGAGTGTCGGTGGACCTTTCGAGTAGAAATTTCGGGGTCTTGATGGTTGCGTTGTTTGTCTCTCCGTGTGGGCGTTGTGGAGGCCCAGCCAGGGGTTCACACTGCTGTGCTGGTGCATCGTGATAGGTAAAAACACACGGAAGGCTGTCGCCATGACAACGCGCGTTGAGGAGCGAAGACGCTTTGTGGTGAAAAGAAAAAATGGCACGCCAGACCTCTCGTGTGTGCGATATGTATATGCGCATGACCCTGCTCGTGGCTGCGATATGTGTATGCGTAGTACGGGGGCGCCACACGCCCATTTCCATCCGAAACCCTGTCGGAACACATGCATGAATACCTACCACGCCCCTTTTATGTGTGCCGCTTTGATGGCCACTCGCGCTGCTTGCGCGGGGTGTTGAAAAGACGGGGCTCGAATTGCGTGGCGACGCTCTTTTCCGTGACTCTGCGTGACGTTCTTAGCTTGTGCTGGCCTCTGCTGGGCGGTTTGCGACGGCGCAATCCTGCCGTCGAAGCGTATGGCCGCGTGTCAGCTCTTTCCATGCTCTTAGTGGTGGGGGCGAGGACCGGGGGGGGGTGTTTTTGTTGTGTCAATGGACAGGGGATAGGGGATGGAGAAATCAGTTCCGCGACTGCTGTAGTGCATCCGCGTCATGAGAAGATGCGGCAGCCTGACGGATGCCATTCGTGTGGGCGTTTTCGGAGTGCTACTACTACTCGATCTCTGCGGTGATGATGATGGGACATTTAGTGGGGGCGGCGGCGGGCTTTGGGGTTCTCTAGGAAGTGGAACTGCTTGTAGCAATTCAAGCAAATCAATCCATGGGGCATTGCGTTTTGTGGAGTGCTGTTGTACTACAGTACTGGTGATATCTACGTTGGTGATGCGACATTTAGCGGGGGTTGGCAGGCTTCGGGCTTCTTCAGGAAGTGGCACCGTGTAGCATTTCAATCCTGTAGCAATCAATCAAGCATTTTTGCGTTTTGTGGTCGAATTGTTGTAGCGAATTAAATTTGTAGCAAGTCGAGCATACGTCGGTGTGTGGTAATTTTGAACACGCGAACGAACTGCGGTATAGGTGTCGTTTTCGTGTCGACTGCGGTCGGCAACAAGAGAGAAGGGAGTTTAGATAGACACGAGGTACGTGCGATTTTTAAGACCAATGAGAAATGCACCGCACTTGCCAGTGAGCCTCGCTTCCTTGTTGTACTGCGCCGCACAGCAGAATACGCTCTTATTGCATGGCCGGAATCAATCGTGTTCTAGCCCCTGACGAGAGAGGCCAACATACGGCAAACAATGGGATGAATGCAAACGCATGATATGCAGACGCTTGTGGGTGACCGGCCGGCTGGTGCTTCAGGCACACCTTCATTGATGGGTGCGTTGGCTGGCACTCAAAACAGCCGTGACAAAAAAGCGCACAACAAACTGCTGCACCCTCGTGTAGGGGGCGGGGAGGCCTTGAACGGGGCCACCCAGACGAAATTTCCGAGGGGTGTGCTCGGTTGCCCAGCAACTGGGCGGCCGCTGCAGCGTGCTCCCACGTGGTGTTGCATATGGTCGGCGTGTCGGTCGATTCGTCGACCGTCGACGACGGGTGGTTGCTTTACGTTTCTTTCGTCTGGTGCATGCCCTTCTGGGTGCAAGCTATCACCATCTGTCCGATGCTCAATTGTGGATGGAGTTTTTGTGAACACATGCTGAGCACACATGCTGAGCGCTCACACACGCACAGAACTGGCGTCCTTTCATTTGTCTGCCGCGGTTAACGCGGTCGATGCAAATAACAAACACACACAAGTACGTGCAAATTCCTGCGCCCCCCCCTTCTGTCGGTAGAAGCCTTTGTTTTGAAAGGGTGTTCGCGATATTATTTATCCCGCTACAAGACTGGCGCATTTTCATTGGTCAATCGGTTGGCGCCGTCGATGCCAATTAAAAAAAAAACACACGCACACACACAAGCACGCACGTTCAACTCACCGGGTCCCAGTTAATGGCATTTAGAAGTGTTTTCGTGTTTTCAACCGCACTGAGACTGACGTCTTTTCATTGGCCAGCCGGTGGGTGCGGTCGATGCCAACAACACAAACACACACACGCTGACCCGATCGTGCACGCGCGAGCGCCGATGCACAAAAAGGCCCTTCTGACACGATTTGTTTCTCTTCAAGTTGTACGGCGTCAACAAAGTCAGCAACGAACTGGCTTCAAGCCGTTGTCGAAGGTAGACCTTCCGTCGTCAGCTCGGCTCAATCGGCCCACACCACCACACAGCGGCGGCAGCAGAATCGATGCGCCAGACTCCCCCGCTCGCTCGCTCCCCCTACATGCCCAAGAAAATGTCTTCGACGCCCAGCTGACGCCGTTTTTTTTCCCCAGCAACGACCAGATACATACGCACCAAGCAGGGCAGCAGCAGCAGAAGGGCACCGACGAGAAGACAGGCAGACGGCACGAAGCGTAAGATCGAGTGAATTGCAGGCGGACGGAGGGGGGGGACGGTGCGTGCACCGCCGGGGGGGGGGGGGGGTCCACAAAAACGCAAGTATTTAAAACGGCCGGGTGGTGTGACCGCATTTCCGCCCCAAACGGGGCGTGGGCTTGAAGCATGAACCAAATCAAACAAGCGCTCAACAAGCAAGTGGGTGGGCTGGCTCTGCCTTGTAGTGCTCATCCATGCGGCCAGAGATTGTTCAACCAATCCGTGCCATCAAATAGAGTCCTGCCTTGTCTTCATCTTGACCATCCGTGCCAGGTCATTTCGAAATTAGACGACGGCATTGTAGACGGTCAAGACGGTTGACGGCCATACTTGACAACTGGGCAAAAACAGCGGCAACGACAACGACAACCAACCATGTCTACAATCTCCTACGTACATGTGGTGCATGCGCCGGTCGAGAAAAAAACAAAGACTGCATCCGGGTCTGTCTCCTGACAAGCGTGGAGGGTCGACAAAAACGCTCTCCCACCCTACACCCGGCTCTCGCTACAGTTACAAGGGGGGGGGGGGGGCAAACACGGCCTGCTGCATTCAACAACTTTTTGAAAAAACAAAACAATTTATCCATCAAAAAAAAAAAATAATCTTGGTTTGTCAAACTTGGGAGGAAAAAAACACACACCCCCCCAAACGGGGGTCTTTTCATTGGTCAGTCGGCTACCGCGGTTGATGCTAAAACAAAAACCCAAAAAAAAAAAAAAAACTTCTTATCCCACCCATGTAGAAATACCCGAAACCCCCCAAATCCTCGGCGTCTTTCATGTCTTCCATCCCCCCCAAACCGTCCTCAGGGTCTACCCCAACCCCCTCCCCCAGGGAAGGCATCCCACCCGGCCCCCCGACCCTGGGAAACATCCCCTGAACAACACCACCGACCCCGGGGTGCGCAACGGTCAACCCAAACC